TCGGGAATCCTCCCTCAAATAAGTTTATTTGAGGGATCCCTCAATGGAAGCTCTCTGTATATATATATATATATATATATATATATCCCTGAATATGAATGGGTTGGGCTAAATTTATCTTACATAAAGGGATTACGTATGAATGGGTATTATATGAACAAGCTTGGATGGGTTGTATTATAAATTTTGGGCTTTAAAAAAAAAATGACACCTTACTAAGGACCGTCCTTGTTGGTAATATATATATTTTTTAAGGGAACTGATTTCCCCACTTTTATTTTCTCTATTTACACTCCCTTTTGCTTTTTAATACTTTTTAATAAATTTTGTTCTTTCTCTTTCCTATTCTATCATTATCCTACATTAATTTCTTTTTTACTTCACTTTTATATTATTTCTTTTTCTTTGTACTTAATTTTTCAACTTACACTCCATTTTCAGTATTAAAGGGAAAAACAAAAACTTAATTTCTTACTCGATTAAAAAAAAAAACTAAAAATGGAGTGCAAGTTGGAAAATTAAGTATATTATAAAAAAACTAATATAAAAGTGAAGTAAACTGAAATTAATGTAGAGTAAGGGTAGAATAGGAAAGAAAAAAAATAAAATTAATTAAAAAGTATTAAAAAATAAAAGAGTGTGTAAGTTGAGAAAAGAGGAGTGGGGATTCCTTTTTTAATACAAACTATAGTGCATTACGGGGCTGGTGGGGCTGATGCAAGTTCTAGAGAGATCCTAACGTTTTGTGGGGAGAAATTGCCTGCTTTTATGATATATGGGGGAATTAGCTAGCCCAATTGGGAAGATAGAAAAAAACAAATTTGAGGGAGAAGGCCAATAATCCCTGATATGGCATTTGATTTGACAATTGGCAAACAGATTTGTTGGTTTGATTCACTTTGGGTCAAGACAAGAAAATGCTGAGGTCCAAATGCGACGTCAGTGGGCCCTGTATTGGGAAAAATCTTGGTCTAAATAAGCACCATCTGATTCTCATCCATATCCATACGCAAGATAAGTCACCAGCAAGCAAGAGCAACCCAGCGCTCACTCACTCACCCCAACCCACCTGCACAATCTCTGCAAGCATGCAGTGCAGCCAATAAAAACTCCACAGACACTACTGTAATCTGAACACATACAATAGAGAAAACTACCAATCCAACGTTAATTAACGGTCATGTCCGAGTCAGTGAACCCTGCAGACTCATATTTTTATAGATATTTTTGTGAAAATTGCTAGGGCAATTGTTCTTATGTCACAATAGAACAATAACTTGTCTGGTTTGGCATGCACGATGCGATGGTGCTTTCTCTTGGTCACAAAGTCAACATATATTTTCTCAGTGTTTGGTATATTTTAATTTTTCTTTCTGATATTTTAATTATGATGTAAATGTGACAAGTTTTCATGCTTATCTCCTGAGTTCGTGATAGATTCTTTTTAACACAAGTCCATTTAAGGGAACGAAATCATTTTCATTTTCCTTTCCAAGCATTAAGATAAGTCAAGCATTAAAGGCATGTCTAGTTCCTGCATGTCACGATCAAAGAAAGAAATGCAGCAAAACACTTCAAATAAATATTTTGCATTAATTCTTTTGCTGTTTTTTTATATAAAACTTGAGTAAGTTAAGGAGGAAGAGAAGAAGGCAGGGGAGAGAGTGACTAGCAGGTTTTTTTCTTTTTTGGAAAAAAAAAGATTTTTCTGGGACGGCTCAATTATATATTCTCACACGGCTCAATTGTATACCACTCCCCTCATATCCTCCATCGATTTTCTGGGACGAGTTGATCACCATTATTAACTCAGTACGTGACAATGTCCAACTCAACTTCAAGCGACTCGCCTTCCCCAACCCAACCATCTCATCACACTCCCATTCCCACAACCAAAACATCGTCCTCATCTTCATTATCATGGCCCTCAGCTTTTCTTATCTTCTCAGTTCTGGGTCCACTGGCAATAGCTCTGCTCATCTACCAACTCGACTCGCTCGACCCAGCTCCTCTACCCCTCCACGAGTTGACTCAGCGAGTCGCGGCTGCTCCAACGCGTAATGCCCACATGCTCAAAGGGTCGGAGTTTGTGGGTGCTGGGGCTTTGGTGGCGCCCGAAGACGTGGCTTATGACTCAAAGTCGGGGCTGATTTACACGGGTTGTGCTGACGGCTGGGTCAAGCGAGTCAGGCTGAACGAGTCGGCTGCTGATTCGGTGGTGGAGAACTGGGTTTTCACCGGTGGGAGGCCGCTTGGACTCGCTCACGGCCTTAAGAACGAGGTCTTTGTGGCTGACACAGAAAAGGTCAGCTCGATCCTAAATATCAGTGCATACTAAATTTGTTCATGTTTATTATTTGGTCAAAGTTCAAGTAAACATAGATTTTTACCCAGAAAAGCAAAAACAAAAATAAAAACGTAACAATGAAGGTTGGTTCAGTTGGTAAAGTCCATGCACACACTGTGTATAGCCCCACTAGTATTCGTGTCCCGCTGCTATGCCAACAATCTTGATAGGTGTGCGATATGTAATTTACTTATACATATCACTTGATATGAATTTTTCTGAGAGTAGAGTCTTATGAACAAAACTCGTATAGAAACTTGCTTCTCACTGACAAAACTCCTAGGGTCTTATGTAACGCTTGTTATGATTTAACTAGATAGTTCTTTTCATGTCACCTTGCAAGACAAGTCCCCACCTAAGTTTTCTACAGTTTCACAACATGCATAAAAGTAGGTCCTGATCTCATGTGCATATTGTAAGAGGGAGGTGGCCTCATAATTATATCAATATTTCTTTTTGTTATTATTATTTTTTTCAATCAGGGGTTATTGAAGATAAGTGAGAACGGAACAGTAGAACTGTTGACAGATGAGGCCGAGGGTGTAAAATTCAAGCTAACAGACTGCGTAGATGTAGCACAAAATGGCATGCTTTACTTCACAGATGCTTCACACAAATACAGCTTAAAAGACTTCATCTCGGATATTTTAGGGGGCAGACCCCATGGCAGATTGATGAGCTACAACCCAACAACCAAAGAGACCAAAGTTCTGGTCCACAACCTCTACTTTGCCAACGGAGTAGCAGTCTCTCCAGATCAAAACTTCGCTGTGTTCTGTGAAACTGTCATGTAAGTTCTTAGAACTTAAGGACTTCTTCTTTATTTTTTTTTTCTTTTTCTAATTTGAAAGTATGGACAAAGTTGCCTTAAATGGTTAATATTGCAGGAGAAGGTGTAGAAAATACTATATACAAGGCAGTAAAAAAGGGAGTGTAGAAAATTTTATTGACCATTTGCCAGGCATGCCTGATAATATCAGATATGATGGGGAAGGCCAGTACTGGATTGCTTTGGCCACGGTGATCTTCATTTTCTCTCTGTTTTCTGAAAAATCACATCAGTTGTTCTGTTTTGAATGGAACAAGGATGGATTTTTTTTGTCATGGTTTATTGACATTTTGTATGCCAAATTGGCAGGAGGTTACACCATACTGGGATCTAGCACTTAGATATCCTATTATTCGAAAGGTTCTGGCAATCGTGAAGCAGTATGCAGCAGGCAGACCGCATATGGAGAAGAATGCTGGTGTGTTGGCTGTGAATTTGAATGGGGAACCTACTGCTCACTATTCTGATCCTAAGTTGTTTCTCATTTCAAGTGGGATCAAGATTGGAAATTACCTCTACTGCGGTTCGATTGTTAATCCCTACATTATCCGCCTTGATGTCCATAAACATCCTGCGCATCCCACTACATGAGCTATGGTGTACTATTTCCTGCTCCCTTGATATAATTTGCAACAAACATGCAATGCTAGTGTAGCTTCATTAGAGAACCTTAAGCATACATAGATGCAATGGTATAGCTTGGTTTATTAAAATCTTTCCTTTCTTACAATAGATAAGGAGCCAACAATTTACCTTCCAATTACACTTGTTACAGCTTGTTCAAGAGAGGCTCCCCAAGGCCTTTGCTTCTTCTCTGAGAATAAATTTCTGTATCTTTCCGGTTGCAGTTTTTGGTATATCATCGCAAATTACTGTCCGAGGAGCCATATAATGAGGCATATTATCCGGGCAGAATTCGATTAGGTCTTTAGCATTCAGATGATCAATCCCTCCTTGCATTTCACAAATGCACAAGGAGTCTGCTCCCAATGGTTATCTGTGCGTGCAACAACTGCAGCCTCAAGAACTGCTGGATGGCTAAACAAAACTGTTTCCACCTCAACTGTACTTATGTTCTCTGCCCCGTATATGATTATATCTTTCAACCGGTCCTTCACTTCGATCGATGTAATTTTCTGGATGTTTCACAGCTAGATCCCCGCTCCTCAACCATCCGCCTCTTAAAGCTTCCTGTTGCTTTCAAGTCTTTAAGATAACCACTCATAACAGTGTTTCCCCTTAACATAATCTCATCCACTGTATTACTATCAGGTGTTACACTTTCCATAGTTACAAGATCTTTTATGTCAACCTCTTCCAAACCAAGATGCCGCACCCCTTGTCGAGCTTTAAGCTTTGATCTTTCAATGGAAGGCAGAGAATCCCACTCTCGTTTCCATGAGCAATAAGTCCCTGGACCATAAGTTTCTGTTTGACCATACAAGTGACTTACTCCAAACCCCAATTCTTCCATCTTGAAAAGGAGCTGTGGTGGGGGTGGTGAACCGCCCGTCATTATTTCCACCTTGTGAGGAACTGGCCTCCAGTCACTGACCGGTGAATTAACAATCATGTTCAAGACAGTTGGTGCCCCTCCCATGTGTGTCCCAATGTATTGAACTATGTTGTCAAATATGTGTTTTGGATTGACTTTCCTGAGGCAGATGTTAGTTCCACCCTGAGCAGCCCCCCCCCCCCCCAAGTGAGGCACCACCCATTGCAGTGAAACATAGGCACAGTCCATAGATAAACAGGCATTGAGCCTATTCCATAAAGCAGAACCGTAGACAACGCGTTAAGATAAGCACCCCGGTGATTGTAAACAACCCATTTCGGCCTGGATGTTGTGCCGGATGTATAATTTACACTGATAGGATCCCATTCATTCCTTGGCCCGTCTTATCTCAAATCCACCATCTCCTGTTTCCAGAAGACTTTATACAAATTTATAAATAAACCCAATCCTAGACATGTATTTATAAAAA